TCAATCTGTAGCTTCCCTTCCCTCCCTGAGGATGGAATATGGAGCCGAAGGTTTCAAGTTGCTAATCCTAATCAGGATTTGATCTTTCTGGTGACCAGTCCCCATCTAGGTTCTCATGAAGTAACTCATTAAAGCAGAAGATACTCACTCCTGTTATCCAGGAACTCCCCAGAGATTTAGGAGCTCTGGGTCTGAACCTGGGGTCAAGGGAGAGGGAAGGGCAGGGAGAAGAGGAGAAGTAAAAATGACCAAGATGCAAAGTGTGTATGTGCCAGTTCCCCAAGATAAATGTAATTTTATATGTATCATCAATTTAAAAAAGAAACTTGGGTCCAAGAGCAAATATTAAAATAAAGGATTCGGGAAATTACATGCCCTTTACAAGCTGCATGCCAGGAAATAGGGACAAAAACCAAACATATTTCTTATCATAAGAAATACACAGTATCACGAGGGGAGATAATATGTTAACCAATAAAAAGTCTGTGATTTTAAAATTCCTCTCCTAACAACTAGAAGTAAATCTTCATGTGATCTGTCACTCATGGCCCAGCATGCCACACTTGTACCTGTAGGATCCCAGGTGCCCCTGCCCCAGGGCTTCCTCTCTGGCCAAAGATTTTAGTCCATGAGCTGTTCCCTTTACCAGGGCCAGGATACAATTCAGAAGTATCATTTCTGCTTGCTGCCTTTTGGCTTGGTGTGTACTCAGCCAAGTACGCCATCCATTATCACTGCCTGATGCTAGGATGAATTCACCAAGTTCCATGCCAACCTTTGAGAGGCAGCCAGTGTACACTGTTGGGGTCCCGTCACCTGGGGGAAGGTTTCGAGAGGCTTCCCACCTGCAAAGAGGGGTGCTCAGAGACAGACTTGTTTTCTTGGTACTGAGTAGTGCAAGTTTTGCCACCTCCTTTGGACCACTTCCTCCCAAGTGGATAGAGCAGCGCCCCCTAAACCAAGGGCACGAGTGTGAGTGACCAGCCTGGTGGACATATTTTAGCTAAGATCTCATGATGGTTTTGTAAATACAGATCCATAGCTCTTAGCTTCTAACACATGGTGGGCTATGAGATGCCACCATTGGTGAAGGTCAAGATGATAGCCACTGGACCAGCATCCCACAGCCTGGAGCAAAACAGCCATGGTACGTATTTGGGACATACCAGAACCCTAACCCAGTGCTTCTCAACCTCCATTTTCTCCTCCTTCTCCTCTCCCTACTCCTTCCTCTTTCCCAACCCACAGAAGCCCTTAAGACATGTGTTACCCTAGCTACCCTACCCATGTGAAATCTAACAGCACCAATTTACTGTTCCCCCAAAACCTGGTGTGCTTGGATCACAGGGGTACTGTGCTCATCAGTGGATTGATCACCGATGAGGTCAGTATCTGTGCTGATAGGAGCGGGTTCTGGTAGGAAGAGCTGGAAACCATGAGCTGGAACGGGGTATGTGTTCTTGTCTGCAGCTCCTCCCTTCCCACTCTGCTCTCTGGCTGCCATGGGTTAAGAACCTTCTCTTCTGTTGTGTGTCTCTGCCATCCTGTTCCTGCCTTGGAGCCAGCAAACCATAGACTGAACCTGTGAACCAAAACAAATATCCTCGCGTCAAGTTGTGGTGTGAGGTATCACAGCCAGTGACAGGGATGTGACTAAGACAACTTATATCAGTGTGTGTACCATGGCCCTTGGAGAATCACAGACCACTGTAATAGCTCAGAATGTTTGACCCCTAAGAGTCCATTTTCACCCCACTGGAGGTGATACCATCTACTGAGAATTCATATTCAAGTCTGAGACAGTTTTGACCATCGGGGCCCAGCTGTGAAGAGAGGTGACCTGGAGTGAGCAGAGGGTCGGTGTGCATGTATGACAGGGGCTCCTGTCTGAGACGGGAAGCCACATGCAGTTAGTTTGCAGAGGTGTCAAATGCTAAGAAAGATGGGCCATTCTCTCATGTCTTGAATTTTCAGATTCTCACTTTTACAGACCTTGGATGACTCTCTGAGCAAACACTTTGTTCTGTGTTCAAGGTGATTTCACTGTTTTGTTTTTCTTTTAAAAGTGCAGTTTTAAAACCAGCTTTACTGCCCCCCAGTAAGTGCTGCCTCTTGATGTCCGGGGCAGCTGTGCTGGGAATGCACTGGAGTCTACTTTCTCTATTGCTCCCATTATTGTGAGGAACTTGCTGATTTGAATGGCAAGACCATAGCTCTTCATTGCTTGAATTCATCGTCTTATGCTTACCAAGGAGGCTGGAATTTTAGATCCCTTTGTCTTATTTAGTGGTGAGAATGAAATCGATTCCCTCTGTGTAGCTCATTGATGGTTCCACCCCATTTGGTGGCTAAAGCTTTCCCTTTCCTACTAACTTGCCATTGCCTCTCTAATGCTCTCTGAAGTTTTCTCTACACCGAGATCACTTCGTGGACTATCTGTTCTGAATTATTGACACTTTAATGATGGTATCTGCTTGGCTTTGGAAACTCGGTTTTGAATGAATGTTCTCTGAAGGTGAATGTGCATGGAGAGATTGATTTATGTATTTGCACTCTGGCAAACTCTTGCCTGCAGACACCGGGGCTGCCTTTACTGGTTGGGGCCATGATGATAAAGGTGTGGCCGAGCTCTGGGTAGGGTTGTCATTTTGAGCAGTTCTGAGGGTACAGGATATCATGCTGATGACTCGCTAAGTTCAAACAATGCCCTGGAGGTTTGGTTTCATCCGTAAAGTTGGCCAAGACCACATTGTGGTTAGTATCAGCTCTAGCATGAGAGAGGCAACAGATGCAGAATTGAACAAAAGAGCAACAAGCCAGAGACCCCATTCGTTCATTTGATGAGTATGTGCTGCGTGCCTGTGATGGTATTGATGGTATTAAATATCCAAAGATATTTTAGAGCTGTTCCTAGACCTTGTGGAATTCACAGCCCAGGTGGAAGTCAGGCATGAGAATCAGTGACTGGGTTGCCTGGTGATGAATTCTATAATAAATGCACATTAAGTTAGCAGGAGAATGCATACACACACACACACACACACACAAACACACATGCGTGCACACACACACGGTGATCCACTCTGGCTAGTGAGAGGAAGGGGTCAGGAATAAAAAGGAACATGACATTTCAGCTCCATCCTAGAGAACAAGATTATGTTTACCAGGTATGTTCGTGGAGGAAGGCATTCCAGAAGGAGGGAACAGAGAGTACGTAGGCCTAGGGCTTCAAAAGCATGGCATTTTATGCAAAGGTGGGGGACAAAAGTGTACAAAAGACATAACAGAGACTTGAATGCTGTGCGGAGGTGGTTTCTCTATTTTTGGTCTAAGATGCCACTGAAGTTTATGGAGCGTGATCATATTGGCTTTGGGGCAAGAATTAGTTCTCAGAAGCATTGGCCCACTATAGTTGTCGGAAAGGGAACTTGGGTATTGGAATAATGTGGATGACAGAGCAGCCACAGGTATTTCAGAGGTGAAGTCAGTAAGACTTGGTGACTGAAAATATAGAGTGATAAGGATGAAGCTCCCACTCTTATCACTGCGTACAGCTGGGGCTTTGAGGTCCTGTGACATGTGGTTGTGTTAAGTGGGAGGTGCCTATTGGGCATTGAGATACAGTAGCAAGACAGTCATGCATTGCTTAACAACAGGGTGCACTCTGGGAATTGCATCCTTAAGCGATTTCCCTGTTGTTTTAACCTTATTGTGTGCCTGCACACACCTGGACGGCACAGCCTACAACACACGTGGGATATATGATGTATGGGTGTACACACACACACACACACGGTGGGATTGAAAAATATGTGTTTAGATTTTGTATCAGAGCAAAAGACACATTGTCACTGATTTCCCTCAGAATACTCCTTCCCACTTGAAACACAATTATCGCATTGTTTTTGCCACTTGCAGAAGCAATTCGTAAGTCCTTTTTTCCAAGTGTCTTTATTTGTGCTGCCCTGGCTGCCATGGTGTCCCGAATCAATTCAAAATGGTTGCCTTGCACAGTCATTTTGACTTTGGGAAGAGCCAGAAATTGCATAGTGCCAGATCTGGTGAATAAAGTGGATGAGGACACTGCATTGTTGTTGTGAGCTTGTCTTTCTGCTCGATGGCACTAACAGCAGCATTCACTGTATTTCTGATCACACCTCATTAAATCACTTGCAAAACAGAGCTTCCAGAACTGCTTCAAAAAGTAGCAGGAATGATGTGTATTGAAAGCAAGGGAGAAGATTTTAAGGACGATTAATAGCTGTGTCTCTTCACTGTAATGTAGTTTTAAAAAGTAAAATGTTCATCATAGTTTTGATCACCACTCATATGCATGGTATAATATACTGCTCCTAGAGCCACAGTAAGTGAGCATAAGGTTAAATCAAGCACAAGAAAAAATTAGGCCATCAAGAAATGTGCTAAGCAGGATATATGTGAAGTTGCTTTTGAAATAATACAGCACGCTGTTTTACAGTAAATGTTTTCATTAGTACAAGGTGTGTATTCTAAAATGATGACAAAAGTATAGTAATGAAACTATATAAGAAGCAGTCATTTGTTACCATAATCGACTATTGTGGACTATACTTAATTATATGTGCTGTGCCTTTATACAACTGGGATTTTTTTTTTTTATCAGCATCACCACTACCAGGTGAGTGAGAGTACAATGACTTTAATGTCACTGGGTTATAGGAGTTTTTATGTCTCCATTAGAATTGTCTGGGTCCACGGTGGCATGTAGAGTATGTCATTGATCAAAACGAAGTTAACCAGGTATGCGACTGTACTGCCAGATATGAATTTGTGACATTAGAAGTACGAGTAATGGTCAGTTTCTGGTGGTACCTGGGCATTTTAAGAATGAACTTTCAGTGATGGCTACCAGCTCTTCTTCATTTCCTGAGGTCATGTGAGGAGAAGAGCCCCAAGATATTTATGGCCCTGGGTACAGGTTCAGCTACTTTTCCACTCATCCTTATATCTTCTCCTTCCAGGGGATGGCCAGGTGGATTTTGATGAATTCATGACTATTCTTGGGCCCAAACTGGTCTCTTCAGAAGGTCGTGATGGTTTTCTCGGAAACACAATAGACAGCATATTCTGGCAGGTAAGTAAGAATTTTTTTTAAGATGAAGTTTGGCAGTATATATATGTTTGGGATTAACTTTTGACTGAAATCTTGAACTTCTGTTCAGCTGGTGAAGTTCTCTTCTGGCCTAGAGTGACATACCTGCCTTGAATTCCACGTCTAAGTTAGAGTCCAAACTAGGTCCTCTGAACAGAAAATCCAAATTATACTCATTTAAGATCTGCAGGAGTGAAATAGTTTATCATTTTTAAAATTTTATAGCAAAAGTTCTGCACTTGGGAGAAATGAGATTCTTCCTCTTTTGATTAAAAAAATCTTTTTCTTGGGGAACCTGCGAGAAGGGCACAGTGATACTATCTGAATCAGTTCTGTCCTTGACCTAGACCACAGAAGTCCCTGCTGAGGGGATGCCTGGTGGCCTCCTGGGTTGGGATTCTGCTGCCTTAAAGATGACAGAATGGTTTTATCTAAACATTCAGTGTTTCTCAGTGTCCTTCTCTTTGTGTCTCGGGAGAGATCTCTTAGGAGGTTCCTAATATCTGCAATTCTAATTATTAAAATGCTCTGAAATCATTTTCATATTTGTGTTTTAATTTTAAAATAGGACTTGTTTCATGATTATGGAATTTGGGGAATGGGTTATTAGTTACTGTTTAAAGAATTTGTCAAGTTGCATTGAATTACCTCTTAGACACGTGAAAGACCATTCAGACATGGTGTGGTTTCTTTAATTTCTTGATATACATTTTACTCTCCTAAAGAGCTTCCTCTAACCTAGATAAGGATTGCATTATCTTTTGTCTTATTCAGATGGTCATCTTGCATGCGGCCGTAGGTATTAAGAACTTATTACATACTCTGTAGTATATCAGTCATTATGGGTTTTACAAAAAGCATTGAAGACTCAGTTTTCAATGTTTAAGAATTTGACTGGGAAATCACCGCTGAGAGAGAGAATAATGAAATGGTTGTGATGGTCACTGGCCTGTAATCTGCTTGAATGCCAGACTTCCTTGTCATCGCTTCTCACCCTAGAACACTGTCCACAGCAGGCTCTCAGTAACTGTTTTTTCCCGTAGGGTGAATAGAGGTTCAAGAAAGGAGCATAATAGAGACTTGAGGGCTCAGATAAGGCTTTAGAAAATGGGGGTACTTACTTTGAAATGTGGGTGGGATATAGCACAGAGAGAGAAAAGAGGATATTGCAGGACTGTCACAGAGATGTCACTGGCCAAAAACCATGAAGGAAAGACCTGAGGACCTCCAGGCAGCATGGACTTAGGTCCTATGAAGAAGAGGCAAAGCAGATTTCCGAGTTCTCAGTTTGCCCTGCTAGACAGGAAGAAAACCATGGAGTACAAACAAGTCTTTGTGGGGCTGAATTCTAATTGAACCTGCTGAGTGTCTGGTGAGGGTTAGACAACTAGGAGCGGGAGCGGGAGGAAGGGGAGGAGGAAGCGCCTATGGCTGGAATCAGTCAGGGGCTGCAGTGCTGGCAAGAGGCCAGGGCTGAAAACCCTGATTTGGGCTTCAGCAGAGCAGTGGGTGAAGTCATAGGTAAAGATGAGCTCACTAGGTAAGCTGCCGGAAGGTGGATGAGCAGGGCCAGGACACCATCCCAGAGGGCGTCCAGGAGCAGGGGAGAGGGAGGCAGAGCCTCTGAACTCCACACCACTGATGCACGTTCAAGGAATACCATCTCCTGGAGCTGGTGTTGGGATCAGGCATTTGTTGGGGTCCCTACTCACCACGTGATGAGAATATGTCACAGCTCATATAGTCCTTCAGTTATGCCTCAGTGTGCCTTAGCAGTTGAAAGGGCAGATGGATAGTCTGAGGCAGAAGTAAGAATGAGCAAGAGTTAGGATGATGGAGAAACATTGCTTCCTATCTGCCCGTCTTTCCAATGGCTTCCATCTGGGTCCGCTCTGGAAGGGCATCCGTAAGTTAGTTCCCCCCCTGGCCTCTCTCTGTTCCCTGAAATGCTTTCCACCCTCTGCTCCACCCACCAGGCCAACTCTGGCTTAAAAGAATGCTCCATAAACATGGGTGCACATACTTCTCTGTGATATGATTCTTTCAGTTCTCTTGGAAAGATACTTTCCAATGGCTTCCATCTGGGTCCGCTCTGGAAGGGCATCCGTAAGTTAGTTCCCCCCCTGGCCTCTCTCTGTTCCCTGAAATGCTTTCCACCCTCTGCTCCACCCACCAGGCCAACTCTGGCTTAAAAGAATGCTCCATAAACATGGGTGCACATACTTCTCTGTGATATGATTCTTTCAGTTCTCTTGGAAAGATACCCAACACAGGGATGGCTGGGTCAAATGGAACCTCCAGTCCAAGCTCTTTGAGGTATCTCCATATTGATTTCCATAGTGGTTGCAC